ATGTGGTTTATCTATACAATGGAATACTACATGGCAATGAGAAAGAATGAAATCTGGCCATGTGTAGCAACGTGGATGGACCTTGAGGGTGTTATGCTGAGGGAAATAAGTCAGGCAGAGAAGGACAGATACCATATGTTTGCACGTATAAGGGGATTAGGAGGAACTTAACGGAGGACTGTGGGGGAGAAGAAGGGGGGAAAATAGTTGGGGAGAGGGAGGGAGGCAAATCATGAGAGACACTTGAATGCTGAGAACAAACTGAGGACTAATGGGGGTGGGGGGAGGGGAAGGGAGGTGATGGGCATGGAAGAGGGCACTTGTGGGGATGAGCACTGGGTGTTATATGGAAACCAACTTGACAATAAGCTATTTAAAAAAACAAGAACATTAAAGGGGCACCTGGGTAGCTCAGTTGGTTAAAAGTCCGACTTTGGTTCAGGTCATGATCTCACAGTTTGTGGGTTTGAGCCCTGCCTTGGGCTCTCTGCGGTTGGTGCAGAGCCTGCTTTAGATCCTCTGTCTCCCTCTCTCTGCCCCTGCTATGCTCCCTCTTTCAAAAGAAATAAACATTAAAAAAAAAAAAAAAAGAACATTAAACTGAACACCATAAATGGAAAATTTCCCCTTTAGGATGTGAAGAATAACCAAGAGTTTCTTCCAAGCTATAGACAGCTGAATAAGTGCGTCAGAGCGGAGCTACGTTCTGTCAGTATAGAAAAGGACAAGAGGGAGCACCCGTAGGAAGTCCCTGGGGCCTGGGGACACAGCTGCACTGCTCTGGAAGGGGAGGGGAAGCACAGCTAGGGCATGGGAAGGGAAGAAACCGGTAGACCTTCCCCACACTTGGACTTCCAGTTCCTAAGCCACGTTGAGGGGGCATCTCTGTCCCATGATCCCCAGGAGTGAAAATAGAAGCCCTTCGAGGCCTGCATGTCTCTTTTTCAGATCGATGCCTTGGCAGAAGTGGTGGCCGCTGTGAAAGGGAAAATGGAAGTGTACCTGGATGGTGGGATCCGAACTGGCAACGATGTGCTCAAGGCTCTGGCCCTTGGGGCTAAGTGTGTGTTTCTTGGGAGACCAGTACTGTGGGGTCTTGCCTACAAGGTGAGAGTGGCAAAGTGAGACCCAACTGGAAGATACTGGGCTTCTTGTTTGTTTCCATGCTTTCCTGTGGTTTGCCCTCCAAGCTTAGCCATTTCTCAAGGGCCCCAGATTCCTGAGGGCCAGTCACCCCCTGCCCAAATCTCCACACTTCCTCCGCAGCACGTTGCATATTCTCAGGCACTCTCGCCCCCATCTCTACCTCTTTGCTGCCCCGTATTCCCAGCATAGTTCCAATTCCACGGACATCCCCATCCTACACCCCCGCAGCTGTGAGCATGCCCAGACCTGATGCTCAGCCCACGGTCAGAATGTTCCTTCACGCTTCTTTTTGTGTCCCTCCCCATCCCCCCATTCTTGGGAGCAGGGTGAACATGGTGTTGAGGAAGTTTTGAACATCATAAAAAACGAGTTCCACACTTCCATGGCCCTCACTGGTAAGTTTTGACAATTCTTCTTCTTATTGTTGTTTATTTATTTATTTTTAATTTACATTCAAGTTAGTTAGCATATAGTACAATAATGATTTCAGGAGTAGATTCCAGTGATTCATCCCGGATGTATAACACCCATTGCTCATCCCAACAAGTGTCCTCTCTAATACCCCTTACCCATTTAGCCCATCCCCCCACCCACAACCCCTCCAGCAACCCTCAGTTTGTTCTCTGTATTTAAGAGTCTCTTATGTTTTGTCCCCCTCCCTGTTTTTATATTATTTTTGCTTCCCTTCCCTTATGTTCATCTGTTTTGTATCTTAAATTCCACATATGAGTGAAGTTATATATTTGTCTTTCTCTGACTTGTTTCACTTAGCTTAATACTCCCTAGTTTCATCCATTGTTGCAAGTGGCAAGATTTCATTCTTTTTGATTGCCAAATAATATTTCATTGTACACATGTACCACGTCTTCTTTATCCATTCATCTGTCAGTGGACATTTGGGCTCCTTCCATACTTCGGCTTTTGTCGATAACGCTGCTATGAACATTGGGGTGCATGTGCCCCTTTGAAACAGGATACCTGTATCCCTTAGATATATAGCTAGCAGTGCAATTTCTGGGTCGTAAGGTAGTTCTATCTTTAACTTTTTGAGGAATCTCCAAACTGTTTTCCAAAGTGGCTGCACCAGTTTACATTCCTACCAGCAGTGCAAAAGAGATCCTCTTTCTCCGCATCCTCAGCAACATCTGTTGTTGCCTGAGTTGTTAATAGCCATTCTGACAGGTGTGAGTGGTATCTCATTGTGGTTTTAATTTGTATTTCCCTGATGGTGAGTGATGTTGAGCATGTTTTCATGTGTCTGTTGGCCATCTGGCTGTCTTCTTTGGAAAAGTGTCTATTTGTGTCTTCTGCCCATTTCTTCACTGGATTATTTGGTTTTTTTTGGGTGTTGAGTTTGATAAGTTCTTTATAGATTTTGGATACTAACCCTTTATGTGATATGTCATTTGCAAATATCTTCTCCCATTCCATTGATTGTCTTTTCATTTTGCTGATTGTTTCCTTCGCTGTACAGGAGCTTTTTATTTTGATGAGGTCCCAATAGTTCATTTTTGCTTGTTTCCCTTGTCTCCAGAGACATGTTGAGTAAGAAATTGCTGTGGCCAAGGTCAAAAAGGTTTTTGCCTGCTTTCTCCTCTAGGATTTTGATGGCTTCCTATCTTACATTTAGGTCTTTTATCCATTTTGAGTTTATTTTTGTGTATGGTATAAAAAAGTGGTCCAGGTTCATTTTTCGGCTTGTCCCTGTCCAGTTTTCCCAGCACCATTTGCTGAAGAGCCTGTCTTTATTCCATTGGATATTCTTTCCTGCTTCGTCAAAGATTAGTCGGCCATATGTTTGTGGGCCCATTTCTGTTCTCTATTCTGTTCCATTGATCGAAGTGTCTGTTTTTGTGCCAAAACTTTTACAGTTCTTTTCCTGATTTGGAGCAGAAAGCATGAGGCCTGCAGAACAGGAGTGGTGGCTCCTCCTTCTGGCTTATCTTTCCCTGGCCCGGTGGCCACCCAGAAGAGAGAGAAGGGAAGAGATGTTCCAAAGATTGAGCACAAACTTGGAATGCGATACTTTTGCTACAAAAGCAGATGCAATTTCAGATTATGGGAGAGAGAGTCCCATTATACTCTGGCCTGTTCAGATCATATCAGGCTTGTTGGGTGTGGTTCTGTGCGTCATCTTTTAAGTAATATTCATGGACGGTGAGGAGTTGAGAAATGATTTCAAGGAGGAAGCATGGAGGAACTGGGGAAATAGATACAACAGGAGGAGAGAAGGGGGGAGAAGGAGACATGTCGTCCTGTGTGACCACAACTGGACAAACGTGCATGTCTCAAAGTTACATGTGGGTGGATTTCACTCAAAAATGAAGTTATTGTAAAGCAGCGTTCATAACAATTTATACGTTTTTAGCAAAGCCTGGGGATCCCAGTGACCTGTAAAATAGAAGTTCTCAACTAAGATCGTGACTGCTCTCACCAGAAAGATTTGGTTTGGAGTTTTTAGTTTATTTTTTTTTCTAGGTGGCACAAGATGGTGGGGTGGGTACTGCAGGTAGTTAGTGTTGGGGGCTAGATGCGCTAAATGTCCTAAAATGCTTGGAACAGTCTCACAGAAGGGAGCCACCTACCCAGTGCCAATGGCCAATGGCTCTGTCTTTGACTCTCTTTGTCTGCTGTAGACACTAACTGATTATGATGTGAAAGGACAGACAAGATGAACCCCAATAAGACCTCCATTTACTCCTCAATTCTAAAATTTTATAATAACAGATATCTTCTCCAGAAGTAAGGAAACAATGAATCAACCTCTGACGTGAAGTCAAGACCATTTTCTTGCCATTAATATATCATCATAAATGTTACAGAGAATCTGTCATGTGCCACGCACAAGGCAAGGTGTTCAGGTTGTTCTCAAGTCTGGTTTGGGTCTGATATTTAGACAAGTGTCTTGTACTCCGTGTCCAAGTTGTATTATTAGTGTCCATTGGGGCTACGGACTCAACCTTTTGGGCTTGAGTGAGAAAACTTAGATCAGCATTAATGCCAGTACCAGCCTCCTCTCCAAGGAGCAGATTAATCAAAGAGAAAAAAAGGGAGGGGGAAATGGGCCAGGGCATGGAGGATAAGGGCCATCAGCTTTGGACCAGAGCCATTCAAAGTCTATGAAGATAAGTCATTAAATGACCCAGAGTCACCAAGACCCTTCCTCATAGGATGGCACGAGTGTGAACACATATCATATTGGTGTGTTTTGCCCCTGGGAGGGAGGGGGGCAAAGGATGGGAAGACCCATGAGCTTCTAAAGGTTCCAGGAGGTTGAGACGAGTTTCACTGCTCCCCCAAATATTTCCTCCCATCCTTGCCAAATGATGCCTTATCTTCTTTTAATGGAAAGAAGCCTGTTGGGAGAATTCACAGTAACAAACCTCTTTTATTCTGCCAAAAGTTCATACTTAACAATCACTGGGGTAGAAACGGTGGCTGGGAAATCTGGTGGAGAGCTCCTTTTTTTAAAGGGGGGCAAAGAAAAAAACCAAACTGGGAGCATATTTATGGCCGACAGTTTATTCTCCCCTCCTTCTACCTGTTCGGCAAGGAGAATGTATGTTTTCAGTGTAGATGTGGAAAAATCAGTAATTGCAACCAAATGCAGGACAGGGCAGAAGGAAGAAAAAACTGAGGGAGAAGGGCTTCTTTGGGGATCCTCTGCATAGGAGTATCTCCCCCAGAGAAGAACCCCAGGCTAGTCCCTGGGGAGAAGGGATCTTGGCCAGGGGCCTATGCTTTGCATAGAACTCACTACAATGCAAAATCATAGTGTGAACCCCCTGAGATTCTGTCTCCCCTTAGCCATTCCGCACACAGTGCACATTAAGACACCTGACACAAAATCGGCACCCAGGAGGGATCAGTTAATATCATTTCTCTCTCTCAGTGCCCCTGGAGATGTATGATGTTTTCTCTTATGACCCTATAACATACAGCCCTGGGAGGAGAACCTTATTTGCTGATAGCAAAATAAATTTAAGAGTCATATTTTTCAGGGAGCTTGGGTGACTCAGTCCTTTAGGCGTCTGACTTCAGCTCGGGTCACTATCTCAAGGTTTGTGAGTTCGAGCCCCACCTCAGGCTCTGTGCTCACATCTCAGAGCCAGGAACCTGTTTTGGATTCTGTGACTCCTTCTCTCTCCGACCCTCTCTCCCTTGCTCTCTGTCTCTCTCTATCTCTCTCAAAAATAAATATAAAAACGATTTTTAAGTCATTTTTTTTCACCATGAGACCAATTTCTGAAATTATCCTTACAGAAAGGTTAGAATCAGAATCAGGATCTGTCTTGAAAAATGTCCACATATAAGTCACACCAGCACACAAGGCTGCAGGGATCTCACTAAGGTCTCGCCCTTCATAAGGGGAGGAGGCTGAATTAAAAAGTCTATGAACCTTCTTGAGGTTTATCGTTTGTCATTACCCACTTCATGTGAAAGTGGCCAGCACATTTTAGTGTAAATATCCTCCTAATTTACAGTAATGAAAGTGCAGGAAACAATTATAAATATGCATTCTCTCTCACACTTTTACGGAGTCTCTGCCAAGTGCAGGGTGGTGCCCTTTACTGCATGAGACCCAGAAGCCAACCTGAGGAGAGTCGAGTAAGCACAGATGCGTTCCCAAGGTGTATGTGCCAAACCGTCTCAAAATGGAATCACAGCATAACTCTAAGGCAACTACTGAGACATTTTACATCATTTCCATATCATTTTTACTACAACATGCACCCAACAACTCTATTTTGGTATCTCTGTGCTCCTTGAGTAGGTCTGCCTGCTGTGAAGACCCACTCTTCTCTGCCCCGGGGAAACCCTAAGCTCTTAAGATCACTGTCCACTCTGAGGAGCACCGCCTCTAGCACGGAGGTCTTGCTTCTGCTGTATGAGTTCAGTTAGTGGGTTCGTAGCCCACGCCTGACATCTCTGTCCACTACAATCAACCCAGGCATAAAACTCAACTATTCCCTCTGTTTCCTTTTTTAGGGGGGAAAACCCCTTTCTCTAGTTATATTTTTGTGAGTGATACACTTCGCGAAAGCAGTGTTTGGGGAGGTGAAGGTGCATACATCGCCACTGTGGAAAGAACTTAAATTAATCCTTCCACATCCTGACATTCAGGTCCATCTGCCTCATCAGCAGCAGGGATTCTCCTTCTACTCAAGCCCCCCCCCCCTTCCAGTCTGTACCAACGTGCTACCCCTTCTTTCTCCCCCTCTTCGTGCTTCTTAGCTGACGCTCTTCAATCCCTGTGTCTAACCTCAGCTACAGTTCCTAATTTTGCATTTTGATGAAGTTCCTCCACTAAAGAAGTGCGTTTCCTTTCGCAGAATTTTCTTGTCAAAAGCAAATTTACTGTATGAAATACTCAACGCACTTCTTATTCCTGACTCATATTTCTCCCTGACAAATACCTCCTGTATCCTTGAGTCTTATCAGCACTCAGATAAAGGTCAAGTGTATCGACGGCTCATATGAATTGGTTTTTTAAATGCTAAAATAGTGTTTCTGTATCTTTACTGTGCCATTTTGACATGGCTATGTTGAAAGAGGATATGGGCACAGGCTCACAAAACAATTCTCAAGGCAGTCAGAATCACATTATTCATCTGGTATCTTCATCCACCCTTTAATACAACTTTTGTTTAATCTTATTACTATTATTTATTTTTATATAGCATTTTTTTCGGGGTGAGCACAAAAATCAAGTCAGGCTTATTCTCATTGGATCATCCCATTACCCATGATGGGGTGGGCTGCTGGAGTTTCAGAGAAATAAGCTTTTTTATTATTTAAAAAATTTTTTATTTGAGAGAGGGAGAAAGAGCATGAGCAGGGGAGAGAGGGAAAATCTTAAGCAGACTCCATGCTCAGCATGGAGCCCAACATGGGGCTCGATCCCCACAACCCTGGGATCATGGCCTGAGTCCAAATCAAGAGTCAGACACTCAATCCACTGAGCCACCCAGATGCCCCATAGAGAAATAAGCTTTTTAACTGCATTGTTCTTTTAGGCTGTCGGTCAGTTGCGGAGATCAATCAGGACCTGATCCAGTTCCCCCGGTTGTAAGAAAGAGGGCTAATGACCAGACTGCTGAGGTGGCCCACAGGGAGAAGACAAACTCACAGCGTGGTGTGTGATGCCTTTCTGCCTTGCCCCTATCTTACCCAGAGGCTCATCCCCCGCACCTTCAACCACTCCACCCCTAGTTCTTCAGGCCTCCCAAACCCCACCTCTTCCTCAAATGTGACCTGCTCTTCTTTACCTCACTGTTACGTGTTCTTGCCTGCCCTTCTCTGAAAGAAAAAAATCTTAAAAACATGGATCAATAATGACTGAAATAGCTACCAGATTTATTTTTTTGCATATCCATTAACCAACTATGTAAACTTACACTCTGTACCAAAGAGCTATATGTATAAAATATCCTCCCACAAAAATACTACTCCCATGTGTAGATAATAGGGAAATAATAATAGTTAAAATCTAGACTTTGGAGCCATACAGGCATGGGTCTAACAGTCAAGACTGGTACTGGCAAGCTGTGCAATGGGAAAGTTTACCCAGTCTCTCTGTAAATGGGAATTGTACTACCTAGCCCACTAGGTCAAGAGAAAGATTAAATGAGATAATGTGTGTACACTTTAGAGCACAATGCTTAACACTCAGTAGAAGTTGAGGAAACAGTAGCTTTTATTGTTTGACGAAAATCTATTCATCTTTTAAGACCTTGTTCAAATGTCACCTATTCTTACCATGGCTACTTTCTAGGTTCTTCCTATTGCACTTTGCACATTACATTATTACAACACTTATTATAATACAATATGTTTGTTTGTTTATTTAGTTAATTAGTTGCATGTCTTTCTCCACAAATGGATTGTACATGGCTCCAGGCAAGAAACTGTACATTTGTTACTGGGCTTGGCATTTGGCAACCTCTTGATGAATACCTGTAACATAGAAGGATGGATGGATGGATAGATGGATGGATGGATGGATGGATGGATGGATGGATGAATGGATGAACAGCTGGATGGATATGTAAGGTGGACAGATGGATGAGTGGGTGGATGGGTGGATGGGTGGGTGAATGGATGGATGGATGGCTATGGGCGTAGACAGATGGATGGGTTGACAGACTAAAGATAAATGGATGAAAGGAGAGATGAGAAAAATGAATAAATGCTCTCTCAGGGTAAACACTCCCCAGGCCAGTAATCAGCTAAAATAAACTTCTAATGCAAAGGCACGTCACTGAATAAGATCTAACATTGTAGACTTCAAGGAAGTTAAGGGTGGAAATCAACGTTGTAAATAAATAGCCCCCAAACTCACTTCTCTGTGTTCTCACTTGCTCTTTTTTTACATTCTGTTCTCTATACAACAACTAGAGACTATACTTTCGAGTATAAGCAAAATCTTCTGTCTCACGGGTTCAAAGCCTTTCTGTGGCTTCCCATTCCATTTAGTGGAAATCCAAACTGATGCCCAGCTCTCCCTGGGCACTAGTTCTTGCAGACCTTTCCAGGTCATTTCTTCACCACTCTCCCATTTGCCTACCATGCCCCAGCCATACTGTATCCCTTCTCTTCCTTAAACAAGCAAAGCTCTTTCCTACCTCTGGACTTTCACACTTACTCTTCCCTCTGCATAAAATATCCTTCCCCAACCTCTTCCCAAGCCTGGCTCTTTCTTGACATCTAGATCTCAGCTTAAATATCACCCCTCAAGGAGGTGAGATTTCTCTGACCATGCAATGTAGAGCAGGCTCTACTTTACCCACGCCCCCCTGGCCTTCCCTTCTTAGCACTCACTGCAATCTGCCATTAACTTATTCTTTGTTCATGTGTTTACTGTTTATCTGCAGCAGCACAGGGACTTGGATCAGTCTTGCTCACCACGACATTCCCAGAGCCCCAACCATGCCCAATGCCACAGAAGGCTTTGAGTCAATATTTTTTAAAAGAATTCATTCAAAAAGACAAAACTGGATCAAACTGCATTGTCACCTCTGGAGAATGATAGCACTCCCGAAGGAAAAGAGTGAGCTAGGACAGAACCAAGCTGAATGGGTCACTACCTAATCCAGAAGATATGAAAAGTCTCCTTTCATTCCTGGGCTGGACACTTTTCTGCAGAAACTCATGTCATAGGACAGTCCCACTTTTGCCCAGCTTCTCCCACATACCCATGGGCTCAGTGATGGGAACATTAGATGGCAGGGAAAACACTGAAAGAGAGAGTGGTCCCATAGCACCCTCCCTGATCATAACTCCTAATGCTATAGCCATTGCTTAACCCATATGTATCAGGCATGTGCCACCTACATGTTTAGAAAGAAGATAAAGTGTGTGTTCTTAGACAGTCCTGCACTGGGCTGTACTCAGAACCCAGAATCAAGGGACGTGAACACCCAGACTCCCAAATCACCAATCCCTTTGATTCTTCTCAGAATAGAAGATCTTAAATGGGCAGATCAATATAATCTGTCAGTTATTCAATATAACCTGCTAGTTATTTCAGTAATTGCACACCCTCTATATCTCTATGAAATAACTATGAACATTTGTACTCTCGACAGAAGAGCTATCCATATAAAACATTCCTCAACAAAAATCATATGCTCCGCCTGTCAAGCAGGGCAAAACAGGCCAACTGGATGAAAGAAGGAAAGTAAAGCAAGTGTGGGGCGCCTGAGTGGCTCTGTCGATTAAGCATCTGACTTCAGCTCAGGTCATAATCTCATGGTTCGTGAGTTCAAGCCCCACATCGGGACCTCTGCTGTCAGCGCAGATCCCACTTTGGATACTCTGTCCCTCCTCTCTCTCTGCCCCTCTCCCATGCACACTATCTCTCTCTCAAAAATAAATAAAAACATTTTTAAAAAGAAAGTAGAGCAAGTATAGTTAGAATACTTAGAAGAGTTCTAGAAGGGTGCATGGGCGGCTCAGTCGGTTGAGTGGCCGACTTCAGCTCAGGTCATGATCTCACAGTTTATGGGTTTGAGCTCTGCGTTGGGCTCTGTGCTGACAGCTCAGAGCCTGGAGCTTGCTTTGGATTCTGTGTCTCCCTCTCTCTCTGCCCCTCCCCTCACTCACGCTCTGTGTGTCTGTCTCTCAAAAATAATAAACATTTAAAAATATATTTTTAAAAAGAGTACTAGGTATGTTACAGAATGTGGTCTTTGAAAAGATGGGGCGCCTGGGTGGCTTAGTCGGTTAAGCGTCCGACTTTCGCTTGGGTCATGATCTCGCGGTTCGTGGGTTCGAGCCCCGCGTCGGGCTCTGTGCTGACTGCCAGCTCAGAGCCTGGAGCCTGTTTCAGAGTCTGTGACTCCCTCTCTCTCTGACCCTCCCCTGCTCACGCTGTCTCTCTCTCTCTCCTAGAAAAAAAAAAAAAAAAAAAAAAAAACATTTGAAAAGAATCTCGAGCGGCTGGTTTAAATGTCATTAATGGGTTGATAAAAGGAAAAAGGTACTTGACCATGATCCTTGTGTTAGATCCTAACTTTTTATTCAGCTAAAAGTTTGAACTGGCTCCTGCACGGGTGTGCTGATGGCCAGTTTGAAGCCAAAGAGTGGTTTAATTTAGCAGCAAAGATGGGGTGCTTGCGTTGAAAGTTTAGAGACACACTAAGGAAGTACTGTGTCTGAAGGCAACTGCCAGGCTGATACAGCAGTCACAGTTTCACTATGTATGGGACAAGAAGCCAAGATTACCCTCAACACATGAGTCAGAATAGCACCGTGTGCCTCGAAAAAGATGGAAGTTTCATGAGATCAGACAAGCATATAGAGCAGGGGTGACCCTGGGGTAGCCCAACTCATTCACTACTACCAGCAGTCTCGGGAAATGTTTTTACTTTAGTTCACAGAGCAAAGCCAGGGGCATGAAAGAACCAAGGAGCAAACAAAAGCCTAAAATATCTGTGTTCGTGACCTACGATGCTACAGGATCTTCCAACCCATAAAATAATGTATTTCTTTTTTTTTTTTTAATTTTGTAATGTTTTATTTATTTTTGAGAGAGAGAGAGAGAGCAGGGGAGGGTCAGAGAGAGAGGGAGATACAGAATCTGAAAACAGGCTCCAGGCTCTGAGCTGTCAGCACAGAGCCCGATGCAGGGCTTGACCCCAGGAACCATGGGATCATGACCTGAGCCGAAGTTGGATACTTAACCGACTGAGCCACCCAGGCGCCCCTAAAATAATATCTTTCTGTGCAGCACACTGACCTCCAGGAGAAGTAGCAAAAATAGAGTTTTGACACAAGCGATCTGGGGACTCTGGAAGCAAATTTTAAAAAGACCATATAAGTCCTTTGCCAGTAAATGAAAGAGATCTTTACTTTAGTCATATTATATAATCCTACTGGACAGATGTAGGCTTTCTCAGTAAAGTACCAAAGAGCTAAACCACCTGAAGAGATTAAAGTCTGAGAAATATTCTGTTACTCAAGGGTCCCCAAGAACATGGACTCTGATGGTGGGCAGGCTCTAGGCAGACTCATTTGAGAACTGTATAACCCATGTTATACGTGGCTATAATCCACTTCATGGGTGACACTGTATAACCCTCTTCATGTAGCATGCGCGCTCACCCAGACAGATTTTTCTCTTCTCTGGCCTATTCCTCAGCCTTCACCCTTCTGTCACCCATTAGGACTCAGCATCAAATACAATGGGACTTAGTGCTAATGGCCCAGATCATCTCTTCAACCCTGAAATCACCTGCTGGGGGGTTGGCTGTGTCATTCCAGATTGGTTTGGGATAAGAGCAAAACAAATCACAATAACATGTGGCATTAAGGCCATTTGGTCTGCAGGTAATGGAGGTAGCTTCCTTTTCAAGAGAATCTAGTGCAAATTCTCCCTGTATATATCCATCTTGATGATAACTGTACACACATGTGTGTGCTATTTTTAAAGTTGTTTTTCCTTCTGGATTCAGAGAGCTAGATCCAAGATTCCAAGGGAAATGAGCAAGATAGTCTAGAGATAGTGCCAAAAGGCTGTTCTCACTGCCTCAGAAGTGTGGGCAGAGGAATGTCTATAGTCACCTGAAGAGATGCATATTCAGTCTCAGAAGGGACTCCTTGACCTCCAAAAAATGTCCTACATCAAAATGCATGGGTAAGGAAGACAAAGAAACCTTCTCACTGGAAAGCTTTGAACAGTTGAACAGAATACTGGCTATCTAAGAGATCACCACTGTGTTCTGATAAAGAGAATCAGCTTCTGGGTCATCCCGGGGTCAGGCTGCTCAGACTCACTATGGCTCCACTGTCCTCAAGATGTTTGGAAAGACTCAAAACATCTTTGTCTCTAACTATTAAATAATAATACTAATCTTCTTGGATTCTCACTGTGAAAGTAAATGACATGGGGGGACATCTGATTCTCAATCCGGGGTGTAAGGAGCTTGGAAGTCACCACTCCATTTTAGAAAAGTAAAAAGTTGAACAAACTGAAAAATCGACAATTCCTCTAGATAACTTACACGAGCGATATCATAAGGGAAACCACTGTCCCCAAAACTGGAGAGACAGGCAAGTACAGAGAAGCACAACTTATTTGAGCAGAAATCTCCATGAAGACCACAGTACCAGTGTCGGAAAACCTGAACTGTAATTCAGGAAATACTGGAGGCTCCGCGGGCAAATCCAAGAGTTAAAATAGGCCCCTTCCCTCATACTTTTGTTCTACCTGTAGGAATGCTACCTATTCTCACAGAAAACACCAGAGAAAAATCCCCTAGAGCTTCCAGCAGATGGAGGGGAAAAGTAACCA